CCTCTTACTTTTCAGGAGAATTACTGATTTTTTTGCTTTTCTTCTAGAAGAAATCAATTCTAAATTTAGTAGCACTTAATGCAACAAGTAAATGTATTAAATTTACTCTCTACAAATGTTGAAGAAGAAAAAAATCTCATCTCAATAGTACTTTCTCCTAATAAGCAGTACCTTTTGATAATTAAATTATCAGATGAATCATTTTTTTCAAATAATATGAATTAATTGTTTAAGTTCAAAATAAAAAGATGGGCCAATATTTATGTATACACTCCCAGTCAAATCCTTTCCTTGTTAAAATGAAAAATACCAGGTCAAATCCTTTATTATGTCAAAACCAGCTCAACAGAGAATTGCCAGAAATAATGAATGGAGAAGTGTGTTACTCAATGTCTTCCAAATAAGCTCTCAAAAAGAAATGGGACAGTGGAATAACAAATTCTATATAAACTTGACTGTTGTATCCTAATCCAGGTCTTAAGACTGATTAGAAGGTGTACTTCAGCCAAAGTTCTAGCACTATTCAAGGGAAAAAAGTTTTATTTTTGAAACTCAATTCCATTTACCTGGTAATTCCAGGTTCCATAATAGGTAAGATTTTTGCATGCAAACTACAAGTAATGACACTTGACACCCCCCCCCCCAATATATCACAAAATGTAACTGAATAGAAACAATGGAATGATACTTTTTTGGGAGGTTGAGTGGGGAGAATGTCATTGCATAGTAAGTTTTATGTTCAAAGTTTAACCCGCAGACAGACAGAAACAAATTTGGAGAAAAAAAAACACATCCCATTCAGATAGAAAAGGATATATACATAAAATCTACAGTACTACTAAAACATGGTTAAAAATTTTTAACCATCCTGACCTACATTATTTATCCATGCCATCTCCTTGACAAAATCTTGGGGGAAAAAGTATAACTTAATTCTTCTCTACCATATTATGCAGGACTGTTAAAACATATTCATGTACATTTAATAGCATAATGTGTCACTCCTACATTCTTTCAACCAACACCTACAAGAAAATTATTGTTTGGTACAATGGGTGGTAGCCAAACCTAACATGAAAGGTAGGAGTAAATTATAGATATCAATCTCTAGAGCATTACCTTACAGTGTGAAGAATTTGATAGTGGAAGTCTATAGAATTGTCATGAAAGATTGTGACATTCTCAAGTAAATAGACATACTGACACTGCAGTTAGGTCAAAACATGTGTTTTACCTGGAAATGGCCTCAAAATGGACCAATCACAGGATCATAATTGGTTTGTTTATATCACCGTGACAGCTGCACATTAAGAGACTGCACATTTGGCTGTCTGTCTTACCTGGTAAGCTGAGGCATACCTGAGATGACAGGTAGAATTAATGATTTCATATGACAGTACAGGCCGCAAGTTTATCACTGCTGACAAACCTATACTCTTCTGAACCACTTCAAAGTGAAATATAATCATTTACCCAAAATAAGGAGATATAGATACTAAACTGCAATAAAGGAAGCAGTGTGTATCCCGCTCGTCTCAAAAAGCTCCAGACACTGATAACCAAAGTGAATCTTAGGGACCCTCATCATGTCTTTCATGGGCTTTTCTAGGGTTCTTATCTATAATATATGATGGAGTGCAAATAGAACCCTGGGAGAATTCCAAATGAACAGGGTAAAAAGGTAAAGCACAGTTATCTTTAAATTATCAAATGTCTTTTGTGTATGCATGCACCTGGAATTTTATTGACATACAGGTGTAAATGATTTTTCAAAAACCGACATGCACACTACACGTTAACCAATTCAAAAAATATCAATGAATTATGGTAGGCAAGCTTTCACATGATGAAATTCAATTGACAGTAAATGTCCGAATGAGGTACGTGTTCATGCACAATTTTAATGCATGGTCACAGACATACACCCCTCGTTTTTTTCTGTTCACATAGGGCAGTATTTTTTTTTTTAAGAAAAATTTCAATTATCTTTGCCTCCCCTTTCACAAAATCTTTTAAATAAACAAAGTTCAAGAAGACCAAAGGAAGAAATCCAATTGATGTACTTTTGGTAATTAGCACACATAAAACCCTATTATTGTTGTCTCTAGTTATTGCTCAACAATGGAATGTTTAGTCCCCTGTTATCTTAACCTAAAAAGAATGTTCAATAAATAATTGAACAAAAAGCTGTTAAAACCAGGCTTTATCCTGAAAGACTACCGGTGTAAATCGCTAAAGGATGGATACACAAGTCTCCAACACCTCAACAATCCAAACTGAATAGCTTCTTCCGTTAACTGTCAAACGCAAGGAGGTGTTTTTTTGCATTTTCTTTCATTGCTTAAAACATGGTGTTTGATTTCAACAGGAAAAACAATGAATACTTTAAACAAATATTTTGATTTTTATCAAAGCTCCAACATGACATTTGACACTATTATAACAAGTTAAATTGTGCATGCTGCTTGCATATGTGAGAGAATCCACTTTATCCAACCATGACATAATAATAAAAACAATGAATATTCACCTGGCCATACAAAACAAATTAAGAATCTTTGACAAAATATGTGCAATGACACACAGGTGTATTTCCATTGTTAGATATGTTTTCTCTAACATTCCATTGTAAATGTTAACATCTTCATGGTTTGAGGCAAGGATATTTTATCTGATGGGAAAGTTTGAGTATCTTTCCATTAAAAACAATTATCTACTGTGGACCTTTGAACTGCAATCAAATGCAAACTGCTACAGGATATTTAGTCAAGCAACAATACACCACACACCTGATGAACAACTACTTACAAATGTTAATCTCTAAATATTTGTTACCTTTATATGTAATCTTAGTACATACATTTATTAGACAAGCAATGACCACAAACTGGTCAATATTAAGATGAATGGTCAAACAAATCAAATCACTGTCTATTTTCATCATTACATAGTGTTAATTTTGCTAATAAAAGCTGTAAATAAAACTTTTCTCTGTTCTATCTATAAATATATATCTATGTCTTGCAATTAATTATCATGCCAGGATTAGAAAAAAAATCATGTTTACCCATGAAACTGTCAAAAAGCAAACAATGATTTGATATTTAATGCTACTTACTTTATATGAAATATTCAAAGAAGATTTTGTGATATAAAAATATTGATTGTTTAGTAAAAGAATGATTTTTTCATGACAGACTAGCAAGCATCTATTACTATCAAGTTATACACCCTATATATATGTATGCCACGCAAGTGACACAGTAGCTTCTGACATTCACTATAAGACTCCTTTATGAAAGAAATGTGTTAAGTTACTGTGTAGTAAAGGGGGCAATCCCTTTTTGTTATTTCCACCTGATATACCATACAATTACAAAGTTTTTAAATCTTACTTAAAATCTAATTGTATGTAATACGCCAATCAGGAAAAAATTTCAACAAGTGTGCAAAGATTTTAACAATGTTTACGCACAAATGATATTTCATGTTGTAGCTGCGTAAAATATTTGCACAAGATATTTACATTCTCTTCCGAAATTCACAATGTCTTGCAGTGAGTAACTAGTGGGGGGTGAATTCTTTTATCGAAGTTTTTCACCGTTCATCAGACAAGCAGTCACTAATGGAATGCCCTGTCCTTCTTCCAAACTATCACCTTTTCAAGATCATACCAATAATCTACATGATCCCTCTTTATTGAAATTCAGGAGTTTACAACCATGACCAGCTTAAATCAGTTTTTCCAAATGTCCATTTATATTGACCTAAACTTGGCGATCCAAACAATGCTGAATATAAATGCCAGAATATTAGTTGTCCATATCTAAACATTCCCTAAGCCCAATTTCAATGGGAGAGCTTGCATATCTTAATGTTAAATAACTAAAAGTAATATTAAAATGGATTAAAATGAAATTGTTTACATTGTTCACTGCACAATGGTGACCAGAACAGGGTGTTTGGCTTCTTGACATGAAAGGTATACTGTTAATAACTTGATTTCTTTTTTAAACACCAGGGCAGAGGGTCAATTTTACAATCTATCACTGTTTTTCAATAGATTTCATTAATGCACATTAAAGAAAATGAGCAATAAAACATCTTGTAAAACAAAATTTTATTGACAGCCATCTATGAAAAGCCATTGAAATTTTCTTTCAAACTACTTTAAACATTATAAAGGAATGCATGCAGAGAAAAGAATACTATGGTAATGTTTAAGTAGAATTTGAAATGAAATGCACAAAGTATCTTTTTAAAAGAAGTCCTATGGATATTTTGGTCTCTATGAATAAACAAAAATATTGTCTTTATAAAGATTATTAAATGGGGATATTACATCTTTATTCAGTTATCAGAAATGACACAGTTGTATGACATTATCATGATTCTGAGGATTAGACATCATTAATTATTGTATTCCTCTAAGGGTTCATAAAAATTTTCCAACATGCTCTAAGAGTGAAGGTGCACCAAGTACATATATAATATAAACTTTTTGTTTACCAGTATATATTTTACTTCCTAAGGTATACCCATTAGACATTTACTTATGCATGTTGTATATATTTGCTCTATATATGGACATGTAAAACCTTTTAAATTTAGTTTTTGTTCCAATGAAACAAAGTGCCAGGTGTTAGAAATCCCAATTTATGTCACATATTGCTTAACATTAATCATGTTAATTGAATCTATTCAATAAACAATTGGTCTAATTTAATTCTTACTACTATAATAATACCCCGAAATGTTAAGGCCCTGGTCATGCTGCTAATTTTAATGTTTGCAGCCTCTGATTTTGTGAAATGTTCAATTAATAAAATTAACTGCAAGCAATTAGTGGGGGAAAAAATGAATACCCCTTAATTATTTGATAAATTTTAATTTAACAGACTAAAACCCATGTGATCTATTAGTTCTCAATATGGTAGTACATGTAATGAAGAATATCAATAAAAAACATACAAATAATAAACCTTTAATATGTGACTTACTTGAGGTAATATATTCTGCCCTGCTCTGCTGCCAGGCGAGCTTCCCATCCCTCTGGCAGTGCAGCATTGAGGCGCTGGAGGTGATTACTGTGGACCTCAGTCATGATTGAGGTTCAACATCACCTCCTAACTTCTGGCTTATCGAGGTGTCTCCTCATGTAGAAAGAATCAGTGCCACTTATAATCCAAGACAGATCACAAAAATTCCTAATATATATATATCCCTAAGAATCCCAGTTATTGTTGAAAAATTGCTGAAAACATAAATTAAAATATAAACTAAAAGACCAGTGTCAAACATACTTCTTTAGGTATGGTATTGTATTGTAAGATCAGCTTGAGTATTTCCTTATTTCCCTAAATAAAAAGTTTTTTACTAAAAATTTATCATGTTAAACTCATATTAACTACATGTATTGTAAGATTTGTAAGTTTCTGTTGTCTTGAGGGTGATGGGGGTGGGGGTGGGGGTGTTTACCATGGGCACCCCACCCATCCGTCACAGGTGAATTAAACCCTGGGCCCTCTGTTCGCTGTGCAGATCTAATCCTTAATTGCTTCTAAATAAGCAAGCAATCATAATTTTATGTCCAGTAACTGAACTCTGAATTATCCTTTTCAGTAGGAACTAACTCTTTATACTGAATACTATGTAGGAAAATTATGAAAATTAAGTTAATATTTAACAGAAATAAATTCAGCTAAAATTTAATCTATTTCCAATCATTTAATTAATCAAGTGTGCTCAGATCGTAAAATTCCTCTAAATAAATATAATTATAAATTAACCTTTGTCAGATTTGGATGGAATTGAATACAATGTAAGTTTTCAATCATTATTTATTATGCATTCACTTGCATTAATCTTGAGAACATATAAGTTCCAAGTTTTTAAATCTCCATTAACATTTTAAAAAATGCAAGAAATAAATACTACTAGACAATTTGAAATAGCCTAATACCCAATTCCCCCTTTACATGTCCAATATAATACTGCTATATATATCTGCACAGGCACTGAACTTCAAAACTTCAAAATGTATATATTATGAAGTCATTCCTTGGAGTACGGTAACGGTACATGTTAAAAAAGAAATCAGATGAAAACTTTCAAAATTTAAAAGACGATAGAAATAACTTTAAAAACTTACTATTTACATAACTGCTGATATATATGTATATTTTCGTCGCATTTCAATAGATTAAACACTCTGTAGTGGACAAGTAATTGGCAGTTGTCTCATACACCTTGCCTCTCTGTTGACAACTTGAATGAAGTCGTGTGTGAACGAGCACCTTACGTGACGTCACAATCACGTGATTTGCGAGATATTATGGAGACCGGAAGATAAGTATGCAATATTATGATTTATGTATATAAAGCATGATTATGAAGTATTTAAGCCATTTAAGGCATTTACTAAGTTAAGTTAGCTTTTTCTACATTAATCCTTTTATTTCTACAGGATTGCAAACTGAGAAATGAAGTGTAAATACGATCATTGAGGCATCTCGATCCGTCAGGTTGTGACAGTTCACTGTTTACACTGTCCAGTAGCACGTATAGTCATTGAATTACAGCCAGTTCGCCGATCTACAGTAACATGACGGATATCAATCGAGACAGTTTGTACAGTGTACCGCTTTCAAGTGATAGTGACAATGGTACGTCCACAAAATTGAGCCCTTGCAACAATCACTAACCCCCCCCCCTTCTTCCTTACTATATATATACAGTTAACTATCGATGGCTCGAACTCCGATTTTCGAAGTTCTCTATCTCTCGAAGTTAAACCCTGGTCCCGTTTTTCCCTCTATATACTAGCAAATTTACTTCCGATCTCTCAAAATTCCAATTTCTTGAAGTTCTCTATCTGAGGCTCAAACCTATAGTCCTGGGCCACACTTCACATATTTCATTGTTTTTTTACTCTCGGTCTCTCAAAGTGATAATTTTGCATGTACGCCAATCAAGCGTGAAATTAAATTCAATCATGACTTACCTGTATACATTGAATATCGGGGGTTAGAGATGGGCTGTCTTTTTAGACGGTGGCTATTTATAGCCACAGGCTATTGCTGATGGTCTGGGCGATGAATAAACAATTGTGTAAAATCACGGGGACCCTAGCGGTGATTTTTGCAGAGACAAAATAATGAAAGTGGGGTCGTTTCGATGTTCGAAAATAAAATGTACATGGTTCTCAAGTTATTTCAATGACATTTTGTTGATGGGAGCAAAGTGTAATTCCTGATATTTGCCGTTATAATATTTCTCGCCTCATGAATATTCATTAAATTACGCCGACTTGATGTTAATTCGTACAAATCTGATTCGTATATAAGGAGTCAATTCGTATGCAAACCACAGAAGTCAATTCATACATAAAGTTTGCTGAACATGAAACAAATGCAAAAAGTCAGTTCGTACACACGGCCTTTTCTACGTTGTGTAAATGTAAAATTTCAATAAAATTTATTAAAAGTAAAAAAAAAAAATCTGGGGGAAGATATTTATGGATAATGGTTTCACATTACACCTTACCATCTTAGGAAATAAAATAATTATTGTTAAACCAACACACTCTCGGCATGATCTTCGCTGTTGGATGTGTGACAAACGCTTATTACGAGATGTTCCCAATTTGGTATTCCCTAATTTCGAGATACTCCATGCTTGGAAAGCGTTGATCCCCAAATTTCTCCATTTCCGAAAATTCAGTTAACATGATTCGAGGACTGCGTATTCCTTGTTGCAGAACTGCATGAAATTTATTAATGCAAAAATTAAACTAAAATTGTCTCCTTTATTCAAACATATTTTAAAAAAAAAAGAATTGAACTAAAGGAATCAGTCTACATAAAAAATTTAGCATGTGTATATAGGTAGGTATACACAAGCCAGCTTAGTTTCCTCGGGGCTTCACAGCCATTTCAATTAAGCTCCACCCCACACCAAACTTACCTGAGGAAAACCGACCGGTTGAAAACCTCTGCCTTTAAATGTTTTTTTGAGACGTTTTGTGGAATTGTTATACAATAATACTTATACAGTTTATTGAAATTTTACGTGTCTTTTGATTATTTGAATTTCTAGTATCTGTTGACGATACTATATTAGAAAAAGATATATTTTCGGAATGGAAAAAAAAATCATGTCCTCTTAAAGTTTACATAAAAGAGAGTTGTTGAAGGCAGATACGATGCCATTTTGGAAAGTTTATTACGGTTCTATCTGAAAACAAAAGTCGTTGCCTAATTATCTCGGACACAAAAACTATTGAAAGGATGCTAATTTATCAAAGCTATAATTATAGGACTGTGACGAACAAAAGTTACCCGTATATTTCATTTGTATTTGAAAATTCTATCGTGCCTCGAATAAAATTTACCCTTTAAAAAGTGTAAGAAAAAAGCTACACAAATACATGTACATGAAATATTAGGATTTTCTTGCGAATTCAGTTGACTTAATATAGGGCAGTCTTCTCCTACATGTGTTTTCAAAACTTCGTATTACACAATGACTAGCGGGGTCAGACTGGTGCATCTTAAGATATTAAGAGAAATAGAGGGTGAAAGATATTTTGTTATTCTGTTCTTTTTTTTCTCTTCTTTTCGAACAGTATATATATATCAAACAAAAAGGTAAAACTACTGTACAATTCTCAAAGTCTTTCAACCTTATAGAAATAAGTAAATTACTGGAAATTTGGCAAAAATGGGGATCCAAAGATAAAGTCTATTTCATTATCTTTCAGCATATAATTTATGTCGCACAATATACAGTACAACGCCAAAAGTGATTCATCATTTCCCTTTTTACCATATAATTTAAGAAAAGTTAGTTTTTGTTTAAAAAAATACTGTGAGTTCAATTTTATTCCAGATTAGCAAAATTTGATAATTAACCACTGAGTATAAGATTTTAAATTATAAAATCACAATTTCTAACTTCAAAACACCAAGATTTCATGACACTTTTTGTTGTAAAATTTAACTTTTTCATTTGATACTTGATATCGCTGAAATGCATGCTGATAAGATTATTTTCAAATTATGCGAAGAAAGTACAATGAATTCGGAATTTACTGATACTCGCTCATATCTGCAACTCACAATAGGTTTATTAATTGTTCCTCAAAAATCTCAAACACATTTCTGCTAAAAAAAATGCACATCTAACTTGGAAGAGTGCCTAAATGGAACCACACATGCATGTATAGAAAGCTATCTTAAAATAAATATGTCCGGTCACCACATGGATATATAAGAACCTTTGATTCCCTTAACTTAACATTTAGGGTAAAATGAATTGTTTTAAGGATTAATTAATGAAAAAAAAAACAGATTGAAATGATCAAGCTTTCGTTTCTGGCATTTCAGCGCATTTTTTTTCTTTAAACATTATTTTATAATAAAACTAAATAAATGTAGAAAATTTCATGCAATAAATTGTTTAACAACTTTAATTAATACATGTCCTCATCATACTGACGCAAATATATAATAACTCATCAAATACATGTATTGTGAAAAATTGCAACAAACTTTCATAATTTCCATATCATTTTACAGATTCTCATATCATTTTATTTAATTTAATTCATTCATGTCAGTGGCCAGTAATTAGAGCGTTTGCTCTAGAGTCAAGGAGTAAGGAGTCGATCCTTAAGTCGCGGGTTCGAATCCCACTGCAGGACGTGGAGACCGGTCCTTCGGATTCAAGACCGTCAAACTGAGGTCCCGTGTCGCAGTAAGTGCTTGCCAGAAAAAAAAGATCCCTCACTGCACAATGGCCCAGAGTGCTGAGTATAGATATAAAATTTGCAGCCCACCAATGGCAATGGTGGCATCTCATTATGAGTGAAAAATTCCCGATAGGGACGTTTTAATTAAAACAAAAAATCAAACAAAATCATCCATGCCACCGTCTATCAGTACTCACAGTACTTTGATTTCTTAAAGTAATGAAGGTATAGGTTAACTGATAAATATATATGTTTCAGTGTAAGAGTTTGATTTTTCTTGTCTAAAATTATTAGCTATCAATGCAGCCATAGTTAAGTATGTGTTTACATAGGTGACACTAGACCCCTGTTTTGTCCCAGAGTTGATAATTAAATAATTGGTCAATTAAAAAAACAGATAGCTGTTGACTGTTCATGACTGATTTTACCTTGGCAGTCAGCATGGTCAGCGAGATGAGGATTTTGAGAGTGTAAATTATAGGCATATGAAATATTTCTCATAAATTATGAAGTTTTATTCGATTTCTACACTGTGAATCACAGTAGGGCAACCATTGTACATAATCGCAATCTCAATAACTGAAAATTTGCATCAAAAACTATCTGAACGCAGTAATGAAATTAAAACAAAACAAATAAATATTGAAACTGAAAGTTTTTTCCTTATTTAATTAAGGACAGACAATACGTTCCTCAATAATATATAATTTTTTCTAAGATTTTGTCATTGAAGTATTGCTACTTTAACATGTTTACTCGCAAAAAATTGAGATAGTACCTTACCAGGCATTTGTGCAAGATACCAGAGGATGTTTTTCCTATAAAATCCCTTTGGAAAAAACTTAATTAGCCAATAACACATGTTTTTGGTGTTTCATTTTTTTAAGACAATTAGAAACCAGTTTAGAAATCAGAAGGTAATTAAAATTTTGAATATTTTCCAAATAATTCAAAGGTATACAAAACAGACATTTGAGGAACGTATCGTCTGACCTTAATCAAGATACCGTTTTTGTTGTTTTAAATCAAGTGAATTTCCAGTAAAATATGAATGAATTTTAAACACGGACATTTCCTAGCGCATGCTCAAAGGGGTTAGTTGCCGCTCAGTGGCAACCAACCCCTTTGGGACCGGTAGACGTAATAATAGAACCATAATAATCGGACCTGAAAATTATGGATTTCTTTTCCCTTTTGATCTCTTGAACCCCTCTATCTCGAGAACTTTTTTAAAGGTCCGTTGAACTTTGAGAGATTGAGAGTCACCTGTACATATTTTCTGCACAACTGTACATTTTCAACTTCTTAAAACATACAACTGAAATTAACTTTGGTTAAAGAATTCGTGTAAGTACTTATATTTATAAGTCCCTAGAAATAAGGAACAAAGTATGGGTCCATATGTTAATTATTTAAAAAAAAATCTTCTTTAAATCACACTCAAAAAGAACAAAATCAAGTGAAACTTTAAACACATGAAGTGTGATAGGGCCGCAATAAGGATTCAATGTTTTACATAGGAAATGATATTAGAAAAATCTCTTAAAATCTTCTTTTATAGAAAATTAAGGCTTTGATATTCAAATTCACATCCCCATAAAGATCATACTGAGTTTTGTTTTAAAATAGTCATTACCCCAGGGTTTGGATGGGCTGGGTTTTTTTTCTTAAAGTAATGAAGGTATAGGTTAACTGATAAATATATGTTTCAGTGTAAGAGTTTGATTTTCTTGTCTAAAATTATAAGCTATCAATGCAGCCATTTTTGTTATTATTTTGAAATTTTAGTAAATATTACATCCATGATTTCAAAGTATTTTGTTAATGTTGCTAAAAACTATTTTGGATTTCATGGCATTTTTTTTTCAATGCAGGTGAACTTTCAAATAAAAATTTCCTAAACCAGACAGGACTGTCCATTGAAGGATTCAACAGTAAGTCACTGCCTATCAAATTTTATTAAAAAGAATTATTTACAATGTAATAGCTTTTTGAGATTTTTTCTGCATTTAGAAAGTAATTTAGATTTTGTGTTTGGTTCTTTTTTTAAAGGGGGGGAGGGAGGGGGGGAGGGGGCATAGCCAAACATTTTCTGTTTGGGGGGGGGGCACTACCAACTATAAATTCCTTGAGAAGCAAATAAAAAAAAGATTCAAGGGGGCACAGGTAATAAAGTAGTTCAGTTTTCTCGTAAACTATACATAAGCAAAATTGTTGGGGGATCTGCCCCCTCCCCGGGTCCTATGGCCATGCAAATATTGTTTATAACAGCAGTCTTACCTTTGTTTAGCTCACCTGAGCCCAAGACTCAATGGAGCTTTCTGATTGAAATTTGTCCATTGTTTGTCATTGTCATCGTTGTTGTCCTCTGATTAACTTTTAACAATTTCATCTTCTCCAGAACCACTTGGCCAATTTCAACCAAAATTGACACAGAGTATCCCTGGGAGAGAAGAGAATATAAGTTTGTTCAAATGAAGGGCCACACCCTAAATGAAAGGGAGATAAAAAAGAATTGGTGAAAATTTAATGGCATTTTGTAAAATTCTTCTTGGGAACCACTGGGCCAGAAAAGATGAAACTTATCTGTAAGCTTTATTATATAGTGTACATTCAAGTTTGTTCAAATTATGACCCCCGTGCTAGGGCAGGGCCGCAGTTGAAAGTTCAACTTTAACACAGGAATATATAGGGAAAAAATCTATAAAATCTTCATTGCCGAAAACAGCAAAGCCATGATTTGTCATATATATATACATGTATATATATATATATATATATATATATATATATATATATATATATATATATATATATATATATATATATATATATATATATATGTATGTATGTATGTATATTTTGGTAGCATCATCAGGTAGTGCAGATTCAAATTTATTCAAATCATGACCCCAGGGCCTGAGGGGTAGGGTTGAACCAGAACTGGCGATAAAAATTTATGTAATATTTTATAGGAAAAATGTTTAAAAATCTTCTCTAGAACAGCAAAGCCATGATTAGTCATATAAATATGGAAGCATCTTCCTATAAAGTAGATTTGAGTTTGTTCAAATCATGATCCCCGGGGTAGGGTGGGGGCACAATTGGCATTTAAAATTTTAAATATATAGAAAAAAATCTTTCAAATCTTCTTGTCAAGATAAGCAAAGCTATGATTAGTCACACTAATATGGAAGGAAAGCTATGACCAGTCACATTAATATGGAAGCAGAGTCAGGAAGTGTAGATTCAAGTTTGTTTAAATCATGAACCTGAGATAGGGTGGGGCCTCATTGGGCATTCAAAGTTAAACATGGGAATATTTAGGAAAAGTCTTTAAAAATCTTCTTCTCAAGAACAACAAAGCCATGATTAGTTATATTTATATAGAAGCATACAGTAGTGTAGATTGAAGTTTGCTCAAATCTTGAAATCTTAACCCATGGGGTAGGGCGAGGCCAAAATCAGTGATCAGAGTTATATACCTAAGAATATATAGAAAAAATTTCAAGAACATCAAAGCCATTATTAGCCATATTTATATGGAAGCACCTTCAGTAGTGTAGATTTAATTAAGTGTTCAAATCATAACACTTGTCACAATATGTGATCAAAATTTTACATACAAATATATAGCGGCGAAGAACAGCAGGGCCTTAGTGATTTAAGTGACCCAAGACCTCTTGTTGAAAATTAATGAGGGTAAAATGATAAGGAGGGGATTTATTCAAAGAGTTTGCTGGTTTAAAGGATAGTAATATGATTTTTTTAAAGTAAACTTTAACTTTTTACCATTTAATATGAAGGTTTAGATCCTGATGCTAATCCAGATGAGCTGGAAGAGAAACAAAGACTGATAAATCAAGTTATGGAACTCCAAAACACCCTTGATGGTATGTTGAATGAATAAATATATTTGAAAAAGATCTTTCGATATTTTTAGAAAGCTACTTACATTTGAAATCTACCTTTGAATTTAGAACTATACTAAATAGAATTACTGTTGAAAAATAAAGTTTTCATTTTTCTACCTTTCTCATTACTCTTCGTTTAATTACTGCATGTGTACTTTAAAAAGCAGACTTCATATTTTAGCGGCTTTGGCGCAGACAACAATGCGCTAATTCATGAATACCGCTAAGAAATCATTTATAAATACAATATACGGCATGGACATGTATAGCGCTAATTCATGATTTTGCCAACAACTCCATACCCAGTGATTGCGCTAAATTTTGAATATGCCAATTTATGTACACGTACAGTACATTTAGTAATATGATACTTGATACATCATGGACTGTTTCACGATAAATACTGTACTACTCTTTTGCAGGGCAAAATGATATATTTTGGTAAAATATGATTTAAAAGCAATTGTTTAATATATGTCATTTAATTATCTATCAAAAACTTTGCCAAACATTACTAGATTGCCCTGCAAAAGAGTAGTACCGCAGTTATTGTGAAATGGCTAATTGAAGGTGTTAATTTAATGCTACATATTTAAGCCTCCAGTGAGCAGTTGTTTCTGTATTCTCCTTTACTTACTAAGGCTACAAAAAGGATCCAAAGTTTCATATAGCAGTACATAATGTTCATTTATTTATTTTTACATTTCCAAATATTTTTCCTGAAGATTCTTTGCAAATTAGAAGACTGTTCTCATGAACTACCATGGATGAGCATGAATATCTCCATTGTTACATCATAATACCGTACTTGAGGTCAAAACTATAGTGCAAACTGTTTTGCTTTAAAAATGACAGTTGAATGATGTAATTTGTGGAAACTCATCAGAAAATAATGTAAATATAAGAAATGGATTTAATTTTTGAAAATTCATGAGGTACATGAACTACGACGCTTCATGCCAGCATATTTATCATGAAGCGCTATAAACGTGCTTCATGAAATATGCCGGCGTGAAGCGTCGTAGTTCATGCCCTCATGAATCTTCAAAAATTAAGTTCATTTCTTAAATGAATTTCTCAGCAACATCAGTCATATGTTTCTTTTTTTTTTTTTTTTTTTCTTTTTTTTTTTTTTTTTTTTTTTTTTTTTTTTAAAAAAACAACATTTGTATTCTCATTTATGATTCACTGATTAAAATTGTTGATAATAAGACCTTTGGCTTAGGTTGGAGCTATGGTAAGGAATTTAATTTCATAATCAGTCAGAAGGAGAAATATGACTCAGGTGTGTATTGTGGCCAATAGACAACTTCTAAAATCAAGCTATATTTTTTTCCATCACAGATCTCTCCTCCAGGGTTGACTCGGTAAAGGAAGAAAATCTGAAGCTGAAATCCGAGAACCAAGTTTTAGGACAATACATAGAGAACTTAATGACAGCAAGCAGTGTTTTCCAATCCACTGATGCAAAGTCAAAGAAAAAGTAGGATACTTTTTACTGTCATTTGATTTCATAACCTGGTTTCTATGAAAACAAGCATTCTGAGAGTATTGCATTAGCAATATTAGTCCCCTACCAGCAAGTGTAATCTGGTTCCCGTTAAAAATTGAAAATGCCATAATTTTGTAAAAAATCAGTGAAGTAGAACAAAATGCATACTTGATCTATAACTCATCAAGGTAAAGTCACACACCAAAAATCAGCTCAATATCTGCAAGCGTTTAGAAAAAAAAGTGCGGAAAACCCTGAAAAATTGAGAAGGTCGAAATCCGTCAAAAATCATTGAAACGGAACGAAATGCAAACTTGATCTGTAACTCATCGAGATTCACTCGTATACCAAAATCAGCTCAATATCTGCAAGCGTTAAGAAAAAAAGTGCGGAGAACCAAGTGGAACAGACTGACAGACAGCTGGACAGACAGACAGACGGACAGACTCAGAGGAAACCTATAGTCCTCTCCGGTTTCACCGGTAGGGGACTAATTAATGCAAGAATTGTTAAAGGACTTCTATTATAAAAATTCCTATTTACTCAGTACTTTCTTACCATTTGTGATGATTTTGAATATACATGTTTAAGAGTAAAATTTAGTTTTCTTGTACCGTACCTTATTTGAGACAATAATTGACTACTTTTAAGTAAATGAATTTGGCAGTCTCCTAGTGCACTGATAAGTCATATGTGTAACAGCTTCAAAACCTTGCTATAAACACACCGAAGAATTCTATAAATACAAAGCCATGATAGGTTTTGTGTAAAAATGTTATGTATTAAGTATATAAAATTATGTGGCAACATGAATCGAGGTTTAACATTACATACACATAAAAATGCTACACATTAGCAAGTTGAGATTACTGTGACTTGGAATTTCAGGTGAACTCTTGATAGCTTAAATGATGGTACACATTATGTCGTCATTGCTCTATACTACACAAAGATATAAAGAACATTAACAAAAAAACTTTGACCCAAGGGCATACCCTATTTAATTTTACAGAAACAGGGTCTTATTAAAAGCAAAATATTTCAGGGATTCATGATGTTGCTGTACAAATATCGACAGCTTAATTGCTTAGTTACTATTTGTATAGATTTGAGTTGAAACAGGGTAAAAATTCACGGTCTGGTGTAAGTTTCCTCAAATTCTTATCAAATGAGAAAATGCATAGGATTTGTGCAGCACTTTTATTCATCTTTAGAATATTCTTCTTAGAATTATACATTATTAATATAAAATTAAATAGGGTATGCCCTTGTGCCGTAGATGTTTGTTGATGTGTTTTATTACCTTGAGTAGTAAAGAACAATGACATCATAATGTGCACTGGCTATAACATGTCTTGGGAACTAAGTATGTAAAAGAAAATGAATTTAAACTTTCTCTAGACACCTCTTGTGCATTTTTATTAGTTCATATGCAAAGACATGCCTATACTTAGCCTTAACTCACTTGCGAATATTGAATAAGTCAAAATTCCAATTGTTGAAATCAAGTGAGTTACCAGAAAAATATGAAAGAAAATGTGCCAATATCTTTCAGCAAATATAATAATAGAACCATAATGATCAGACCAAAATATTCTGGATTTCTTTTCTCTTTTGTAGGGCTGCGCAATAATATCGATGTTCCGGTATATTGCGATTCATCCACAAAAAATATCGTATTGCAATACGTTTTTCCAGTATCAGTATATCGGTAAATTGCTTGAACTAGGGATTTCTAAAGTAATATATGACATTTAAGATGCCAGAAACACTTTCAATCATGCCAAACAATAAGGTTGCTGTTGTATGGTTGTATTTCATTGCAAATCTGAATTGAAATCGACAAGCACTTTTTTCTGGCTACAACATTTTATAATACACATGTAGTTTTATTCACTCTGATTATAAATGGAGATTAATAAAATAAGAAAAGAGCATTTTAAGTGTTATTAAAAATATTGCAATACATATCGCAATATAGTTTTAAATATCGCAATATATCACAATACGAAATTCCCAGCCAATACCCAGCCCTACTCTTTTTCTCTTAAACATTTTTTGAGGTCCCTTATGAGATCTTGATTCATCTGTACTTTGAATTGAATGTCTTTGTACATAATATGACCGTTTTGAAATGAATAATCACGAGAGATGAAAACGACTACTAATGTATGTGCATTTTGTTAACCAAATTTGTATGTATTTTGCTATATAAGTATTAAATGTGACTGATCATTTGTAGATCTGGAAAGAAGAAACCAGGGAAATAGATGTGCAATATAGGAGTGATAACAAAGAAAAGTGTACTGTCAAGGAAGTGAACAGTTCATTAAGTAGGCCATAATATTGAAGGATTGCAAAATGGAAAAAGAAAACCTTTTAAAAACTAATCACAATTAAATCCTACAAATTTTTCCTTGTCCATCAGACAGTTTTATTTGCGTATTCATATTTTTTTGTTATAGTCTTCCTTCATATGAAATCCATTAAGACTACAAAGAAAGGTTGTCTGGCATTATACACATTATTTGACATTGTTTTGCTTTTGCAATAACCCTTTGTTTATATACTGTAGATTCCTTATTTTTCGCGAGTACTTATTTTCGCGAAATGACTCTTTGACGTCAAATCGCGAGAACAATAATTCGCGAGTGGACGGTTGATCAAGAGATTTTACATTGATTTCAGGACCATAAAAATAAAAGCGAGTAATTTTATTTCGCGAGTGGTGCTTCTCGCGTAATTACGCGATAATTAATTCCTCGCGTATATTTAGGAATCTACAGTAGTGTTTTTTGTTTTGTTTATTTTAAAATTGTTACACTGCCTTAATGTTCATAATTATGATATTATGTTAGATAAATGCTTTGTGTCAATGAAATGTAAAATTAATAAATTATGTAATTAGTGCATGATGTGTTTCATTTAGCAATCAAATGTTCAGATATATGATATTGCATAAGACTAACTTAAATATCCCAATCATTGATGATGCATGTAATTATGCAGAAAAAAGTTATACTAGGATAAAATGCCCTTTATTGCACAGGATGCAAACAGACATGTACACATCTTTTTTAGCTAACCTTGACAAAGTTTAGTGGGAGTTTGTACTATGCCATTTGGCATCCCAGGTTAAAGTTTTTGGAGTATGCCATTTGGTATACCAGGTTAAAGTTTTTGGAGCAGTTTTGTCTCCAAGTATTTTTATGCTCCATATTTATCAGAGTTGGATGGATGATGCTTCTAGTATGTTTCATTATAACAGTAAGGTTTTTAATTGCTGCATTTTCTGCCAATAGTTTCCAGAGGAATGTCCGGGTTAATGTTTTTGGAGCAGGTTGAAGTTTTTAGAACAGGTTAAAGAAGATGGGTGAACAAGGCATGCAAAATGCCTATAGCTTCAAATGTTAAAAGTCATATTCAACTTGTGAATTAAGTATTTATAGTAAAGTTCTTATTATTGATAGGTATGAAACTATGACAAACAAGACTTTTCTGCAGAAAATTCTTTCAGCAAAATGCATTGATTTCTATGGTTTGAAAAAAAAAAATGTGGTATTCTTGGGATTCAAACCTTAGCAATAAAAATCCAAATTATAATTTTTTTCTTTGAAACTAACATTCTAACCACTACACTACACATCTCATGACAAATTTAAATCATGTTAACTTGTGATATGACCCTTGACTAAATGGACTAGAATTTTCTCAGAAAATATGAATGTTTTATCATAAAATTGTTTTTTTTTAAGTATAATGGGACTTTGTTCCATGTTTTTGTTTACTGAAATATGAATAGTTTTACATACTTTGATTATAGTCTTTCAAAAAAATGGAGCAAAGACCCACTCACATGTAGCATGAAAAAATGATAATTTTTGCCATGTTTGATATTTTGAAGACAAATCATTTCAATCTTTGTGAGATTGTTGTCAATTGTGCAGATTTTACATAAAGTTTATGTTTTTGTTAAATGAAATATCAAGAAAAATTTGTCATAAGATTTATTTTTTCAGTTTCTCGTATGTCGCACAATAGACATTTTACTTGCCTTGTTTGCCCATCTTTTTGGAGCAAGTCCCCTTCCCAGATACCATTCAGCTTTATGGTGACTAAAGTGGCATGGATAATACATATAGGGATGCACACTACTAGACTTGCTTCGGATGCTGGATCTAACCTACATTTTTGGATAAGGGAATTTAATACAGTTTTTTGAGCAGACCCAATCCAAAGTAAGTATAAGCCTTACCTGTACCAAGCTTGCATGGATGATGCATCTAGGGATGTACCCTACCAGACTTGCTTGGATGCTGGATGTGACCTACATTTTCCAAATGTTTGAAGAAGTTTTTGGAGTAGGCTCATTCCCAAATAATACAAGCCCTAAGATGACTAAACTTGCATGGGTGATGCACCATGGCATGTACACTTCTAGACTTGCTTTTGATGCTAGATCTGACCAACATGGCCAGTGTAAGTTACTGAAGCATATCCACTCTGTAGTAGTTGTAAACTATATGGTGACTAAAACTTGCATTGGTCATGCATATAGGGATACACAATACCAAACTTGCTTTGAATGCTGGATCTGACTTGCATTTTCCATTTGATTGAACAATGAATTTTTTTTTGGAGCAGGTTTTATTTCTGAGTAATTATAAATCCTCCCCAGATCAAACTTACATACATGTAAATGTTGCATCTAGAAATGCACACTAATAAAACATTTGTTTGGTTTGATACTTCTTAAAATTATCCCCCTGTAGTAAACAATACATTTGGGGATGAGGTACAAGAAGTATATTTCCTAATACATATATTCAGGAGTAGATAATGATTAGTAGGAAAACATTAGTTGTCTGTAACTTGATAATTACATTTTTAAAGTGCATTGGACATTGTTTTGAAAAGGATACTGACATGATGATGTAAATATAGTGACAGACATAACGGTTTGCCTCATTCCACTAATTGACTGCTAATGTTGGTATTGACGACAGATTCCCCACGAACAATTTTCCAACAGGTGTATTTGCAGAAGTATTAATTTTCACTTTATACAGTTACAAGTAGTAAGGTCAAAATAATGAGTTTAGAAGTGTCTTTTGGTGTTAGATCCATTATGATGTCATAATTAATTTAAACGTACCTTTCCCGTGCTACATGTATAATTGAATTATGTAGAAAACGTCATTTATTTAGCATTTTCAAGACATTCAATTTGAAATTATTTCAAAAGTAATCCCAAATACCTATAATTAAAGAAAAGGTCAAGAACAGATAGATTACCATATTCTGAGAGATTGTAGGCAATCTGGATACATTTCCTTTATCTGATAAAGAAAATATATTCATTTTTTATTTAAAGTATTTCATTGCATTTACCTATAAAAATTATGTCCCATTTCACCTTGTTTTATCAAGTTATAGTTGTAAAGCATCGCTAAGGATTTTATTTTTCAAATTTTAGAAATCTGGAAGAGCCTTCATTTACTAGATCTTGATCTTAAGAAACATTTTTTTGCCCCCATAATGGAAGATTCAGGGGCATATAGTTTTTGCCCTGTCCGTCTGTCTGTCTGTTTGTCCGCAAAAACTTTAACCTTGCCCATAACTTTTGATTGGTTGGAGCTATGGCTTTCATATTTCACATGCTTATTCCTTGGACAAGACCTTTCTTTGGGTTTCACCATATTTGACATTTTGACCTTGACCTTGGAGTTTGACCCAGTTTTGCAAAATTTTACCAAACTTTAACCTTGCCCATAACTTTTGAACAATTGGTGCTAGAGCTTTCATACTTCACATGTGTAATCCTTGTGACAAGATCTTTCTTTGAATAACAACAACTTTGACCTTTTGACCTTGACCTAGGATTTTGACCTACTTTTGAAAAACTTTAATCTTCGCCATAACTTTTGAACAGTTGGTGCTAGGACTTTCATACTTCACATGTGTAATTCTTGTGACAAGACCTTCCTTTGGATACCAACAACTTTGACCCTTTGACCTTGGAGTTTGACCTACTTTTGGAAAAATTTAACCTTGGCCATAACTTTTGAATGGTTGGTGCTAGGGCTTTAATACTTCACATATGTAATCCTTGTGACAAGACCTTTCTTTGGATACCAACAACTCTGACCCTTTGACCTTGGAGTTGACCTATTTTTGGAAAACTTTAACCTTGGCCATAACTTTTGAAGAATTGTTGGGCTTTCATATTTCACATGTGTAATCCTTGTGACAAGGCCTTCTTTTGGATACCAACAACTTTGACCCTTTGACCTTAACCTACTTTTGAAAAACTTTAACCTTGTCCATAACTTTTGAATGGTTGGTGCTAGGGCTTTCATACTTCACATGTGTAATCCTTGTGACAAGATCTTTTTTTGGATACCAACAATTGTAATCCATTGACCTAGACCTTGGAGTTTGACCTACTTTTGGAAAACTTTAACCTTAGTCATAACTTTTGAACAATTGGTGCTTCGGCTTTCATATCTCACCTGTATATTTCTTGGGAGAAGGCCTTTCCTTGGGCACCATTAATTTTGACCACTTGATCTTGACCTTGATGTTTGACATACTTTTGAAAACACTTTAACCTTTTCCATATCCATTCAATGGTTGTTGCTAGGGCTTTCATATTTCACAGGTATATTCTCAGAGACAAGACCTTACTTTGGGTACAAACTACAATACTTCAAATAATTCCTCATGCATGAAGTGTTTACTTCTTGAAAGTGTTGTTAATTTAAACATTTAAAACACAGTAAAACATGCTTATAACAAAGTTCCAGGGATGCAGGTGTGTTCACTATAAGTGTGTTTTACTGTCCTAGAAGTACATTTTCCTCTAAAAACCCTAATAATGATGGCTGATTTAATAAAATTTAGTTGGACTTCCTTCATAAAATGAAACATTATCTGGATGTTTATTATGTCTGAATGTTGGTTCTTTTTTACTAAGAAATCTTAAAGAGGAAAGGAAACAGATTTTCTTTTATAAGTTTATTCATATCATATAACTATAATATATATGAAGACTAGTTAAATATGTAACAATATAAGCATGGGATTGGCTATGGTACTCAACAATAAACAATCATCTAATTCAATGTAACAAAAATCTTATTTGATCCAAAGAAATTGTGAATTCTTACATACAGTCTATCAATAAAATACCATTAAAAAAATTGAATGCTTTAAAAATAACCTGCTAGCTTTTACTCTTTTAAAATTAACATCTAAGTGAGAAAATATGATCCAAGTCCATTTGTGAAAGTGTAAGAAAAATTAATGTGATAATAAAAATCTGTGGTAAAATCAACTTTTGTGGTGGCTTATGGGAAAAATAAAATACAGTTAAAATAATGTATAGTGTAAGGAAGAAAATGCAATGCTCAATCAACATTATTTAATTAAAAAAATATTAAAAATAAAGAAGTGAACACAATACAGTTGTACTATATTAAAAATAAATAAAACTTGAAATAGCACAAACAAGCCAACCTACCATAGCCAATAGCACTAAACTACAGACTTAAGCTATAACAGCAACAATTTATATTGAACCAGAAATATATCTATGATATATACATCTTTGTCATGTACAATATAATCAGGAAAACTACTATATCTCACATCCTCTGATATGTACAAATGTACAACCCTGTACAAACTGACTAAAATGTCAATCTTCTTCTTAATTCTTTGTTAATTATATCTTGAAAGATATGTACAGACAATGACATAAGCTGCCTACAGAATATCACAGCACTAAGGAGAATGAGTAATGGGTCAATTATGGCACTATCACAGACAAATAACGTAGAGATTTCTAAGTGAGGGCGTCTCTTCCTATCGGAAAGTACTTAAGGGGGTGGAGGTGGGTGGGGTGTCCTGCATGAGGGCCTCCAGCACCACTGGAACCTTCCCCAGTCTCACTTTGACTGCTTCTGGAAGAATGTCAGTTCTTTGAAATCTGTTAAGAGAAAAAAATTATCATTACATTTAAAAAATTAAGTTCATTCTGCTTAGCCTGAACTATTACAAATATTTCATTTTTGTTTAAATTGAAGTAGTATTAAAAGTTTTTCAAGATTACAAAAGTATCTTAAAACTACTTTGAAACCAACAAATAAAATTTAAATGTTTTCTTTATCTTACCTAAAAAGTTTTCCTTGTACATCCACATATTTAACTGTGGTAGTGGTTGGTTTCACCCCTATTTGGGTTGCATCATCAAACTTCACCCATATCTCTCCATTAGACAACTGAAAGCAACAATTCCCATTATAGATAACCTGCATATTTTCTCTTCAGTAGTGTTGTGAAATATGAACAAGTAGCTTCATTACTTCTCAGACATTTAATTACTTCAAAGCATGAGCTGCAACTCATTAATCAAATTACCTGTGATGCCCATCCAATATCTTTTACCAAAACACTGCGTAACACGGTGGCTTTGCGTAACTGTGTGCTGCTACTGTGACTAGAGGTAGGACTGGTATTGGTAACTCTTTCGCTCTGTAGAGTAGACGTGGGGCTTATGTTTCCCAGGCGCTCTGCTATCTGTTGTGCTCTCAGTGTCTGGTCATGAGAGTCATCTGTCAGTCTTGAGGCAGATGATGGATCCACTAGTTCTGTTACAGTGCTGACCACTGTTCCATCAAAAGATGACATCTGTTAAGAATGAACAATAATATTATCCAGCTTCAGAAAATATAAAGAGAAAAGAAAGAAATTTAAAACAGAGAACAATGTTAAGTACTTACTGTAGGGGGCCTTCCAGATCCAGATGAAGGGGTGCTTAAATTGTCCATTCCAAGGGAACTTGGAGGGTCACTTGTTGAATGAGATCTGTGAGAGTCATTCAGGTTCACATTTGGCCGCCGTCCAATGATGACGGGGAAGAACTGCTGGCCCTTTGTGCTGCACCTCTGTTGTACTGCCTCAATGACTGACTCCAGCTCCAGGCACTGCTGTCGACATTGTTTGACATACTCCAGTAACTGCTGCGTCTCCTCTGCTAGCCTCTGCTGGGTGTCCCCCGACTCTAGAACCAGTGATGTACCAGTCTTCTCAATGATTCGAATGTTCGTGGAGTTCATTGTAAATTTAGCACCTACAAAGAAAAATTTACTTTATAAAAACTTATCCTTTCTCAAAATGCTCATTTCACTTGCTAAGCAGCATGCAGTAAAGTGCAAAAACACCTTGTCAACACTATCAAATTCCACCAAAAAAAAAAGAACACAAATTCTGAACACAGTTTTAAGCAAACACCGTATCAAAAATAAAAAAGGTATGGGTACATAAAGACTAATTTCTTTTTTTTTTTAATTTCCTATAGAAGAAAAAAAAAGTACAGCACCAAATTATCTTTAAAATAACTAATTCAATAAAAAGAAAAGACTTAGGTAAAAACTACATGGTTTTATACAGGATTGAAGATTTTTTGATTATTTTTGGTTTATGGATTATTTAAATAAATATATTTTTTTTAGATCCACAGCAAAAGGTGTTATTATGCTACACAAATAGTATGAGTGCTCAAAGGTGAGAGAAATTTGCTACAAGACAAACTTACTCCATGGGAAACACTCATCACAGTAATTAGTATGGTCATCTCCAGGAAAATTGCCTTGTTATAAAATTCACATAATAAGTTTCTTTACAATTCAATTTAACATTTCAAAATAATATTCTCCAAATGTGTTTAAAAAAAAGAGAGAGAGAAAAAAAAAATAGTATTACACTGTGTGATGTATAAAAAAAAATGCACTCAGTAGAATTAACAAAGAAATTCATGTAGGAAAAAAAAGTTATTCACACTGGCTGAATGTATTATCATAAAGGCTTTTGGGAAAGAAAAAAATCTGCAAGTCTGAAAGAAAACTTCAAGGTGACTCTAAAAACACCTACCATCATAGAACACTGCCTCAAAGTCATGGTTAGGTGAGTTCTCCATCAACATACACTTGGCTTTACTAGTGTAGATTGTTACTTTTGGTGTCTTGGATCGTACAAGCTTCACAAACCTATGAAGAAACAAACACAAGCAATATAGTATTGTTACATGTGGATGTCACATATACCCTCTACAAGCTGGCAGTTCATAAAATAAATTAAAGTACATTGACCAACCTTGCAGCATACTGGTATTTTTTGAAGTATTTCTCTGGCAGCTCCTCAAAAGAGAACTGCTTTGAGGGAGTCTCAGGAAGGGACACTGGATGGTCAGAGACAGGTTCCCCTTTCCCTGAGTTTGGCTGGTAGACTTTGACGTTCAAGCCGTCTGGAGAGATGACAAAGACTTCCATCACTTTGTCCACCTTCTGCTTCTGTTTAACAAACTCCAAGCACACCTCTCCATTCTCCATGATGTTGACCTGCAGGAAATAAAAATTGGGTGAATATTAATAAAAAAAATGTACACGTTCAATCTGAGATTCAAAATTTTAAAAGAAAATATGCTTAAAACAATATTTAATTCCATGATTACTTTTAAAAAAATCCCAATGTGGAGTTTACTTACCACAGCATTCCTGGTTTTTTGGCGAATGGGACATAGTCTGACAGCAGAGAGTGGGGTAACACCTTTGTTGCCCTTTTCTTCATTAGATGAAGTAGCACCCTTTACACTTTTAGTAATCTCTGGCTTACTGTACTGTTCCAATTTACTGCTGGCATTAGTGTCTATATCACTGTCCAGGAAATCATCCACAGATTTACTTCTTCCAAACTGTCCAACATAATCCCGCTGCTGGGAGTAAGAATGCTTGGCACTGGCACTACAGTGTGATGAGGAAGACTCATAGTCTTGACCCTCTTTGGGACGAGATTTATCGTGCAGACTGTCACTCTCAAAGTTTAGCACTTTCTTGGTGTTGTATAGACTGAATTCACTACTCTGTGAAGACAGATCACTTGCAGAAGGCTTGGTTATTCCATGACTACTGGTATCACTGTACCCATGCATGGCTGGACTTGCCACAGTTTTTGGATCATTGCTATGAAGAGACAGACTACAGGACCATCCAGAAGAGTTGCTAGGTGTATTAGACCTGTTATCCTGGTACTTAGCAGGATCAAACTGGGGAGGAGGCCTATTGTTCTGTTTGACTCCTTGAATTTCCTCTAGGCTACGCTCTACAGAGTAAAGCTCCATACTTCTACCCTTGTCCTGACTGTTGCTTCTTAGGAACTGTTGTCTCTCAGTGCTTCTGTCACTACAAAACAAATACATCAATTTTCAGACACATTTACTTTGGTTGACAAACCATGGTCCTCATCTGAAGATCTACCAATTTACAGTAAATGTAATAAATAAGTCCACTAAAATTTCTGTGCAATCCTCCTCTACAACTGATTGGCACAATCATGATATTTAGCGCAGTGTATTAGCATGTACACAAAATAGTGGACATGAAACAGTGATAAAGAGGCTAAAATATGATTACAGCTAAAATAAGTGCATTTACAGCACTATAGCAATCTTTCTGAAAAAAGAAGGAGAGTCTCACCTATCTCGCAAACGAACTGGAGGAGATGGTGGATGACGGGACACTGCTGTACTGGGAGGACATCTTTGATTAATGTTAGCCACTTCATTCTCCTCATAGCTGAACTTTTTGTTTTGGAAAATCTTTTCAGCATCTTCAGAGATGTGTGACTCCAGAGGAAATGCCTGAAAAGGGCGGGGCTTGAGGGCATTGGTCATTCTTGAGGAGGTGGAAGTTGACATGGTTGCCATGGTATCCCTTCCACTGTCAATTGATGTGTCACCAAAGTTCTGTAAAGCAATATTCATAATTAATTTTTAAAACAATTCAAGCTCAGAATGTTTTATCATATACTTTTGTCTACAGGTGGAAACAGAAACAACTGCATAGAGCATACCTTAGAAACTTTTCTGTAAGCCTCTTTATCATAGGTCATAAAAGGGTGCTTCAATATATCTGAAATTGTGAAAAATATTCTGTTAGTCTGTAAATAGTGACCCTGACATTCATCCACTACTTTTTATATGACTTGGTTTACTCTTTATTCTTTCTTGAAGACGTACCAGGAAGAGGTAGCCTCTCTTTGGGATTCTTCTTCAGAAGAGACTTAATGAGATTTTTGGCATCTTCTGATAGATGACTTGGGAGATCAAATTCAGCGTGGATCACTCTGTTTAGTGTGCTTTTTACTGCTTCTGTGTCAAATGGAGGCTTGCCAACTAGGAATGTGTACAACATGCAACCCAGAGACCAAACATCTGCTTCCAGACCATGAGCAGACCGCATGGCAATCTCACTATAAAACCAATTATACTAATTACCAAACATTAATTAATTTGGGCAAACACTTCTTTGATGACTAGTTGCTACTAAATAATTAACAATCTTGATTGCATAATGCCCAAGAAACAATGCAATGGAATCAAGTATGCAAGTTTATTCACGTTCAAACAGATTATAAATGCAGTACACCTTTCATCATCTGAAGTTTACCAATTAATCATTAAATAAACAAGTTAATCCCTACATCATGTCATTGTATGTGTTTTTAATTACTTACGGAGATATGTAGTTTGGTGTACCACACATAGTGAAATGTTTCTCATCTGGAACTGTGAGTTGAGTGGCCAGTCCAAAATCAGCAATTTTCTGCAAACAATGAACATGTAATAATTTCAGAAAGATGTAAATAACATCAATAAACCATATACTGATGATATAAGGCTTTTCACACATATTTCTTTTATTTATTATCATTTGTAGTATTTTTTAAATATTTTAATTCAAAATATTTACCACATTCATATTTCGCGTGAGAAGAAGGTTGGCCAAAGTTAAATCTCTATGAAGAATGCCATGCGAGTGGAGATAGAGCATTCCCTCTACTATCTGTCTCATAAAGTGTTGAGCTGCAAGGAAAAGTTTCATCATGAAATAAAGCTTAACAAAACAAAGAAACCTTTGTGGCAATGGCAAAAATTCTCAGAGATATTGATTTTTTTCTCCCTAATTCTGATCTATTTGACAACATAAATCTACTCACCTTCATCTTCTGTCAAAACTTTGCAGTTTGCCTTCAGGTATCTATTGAGTTCTCCATTAAGACAGATTTCCAGCACCAGATATACATAATTGCTATCTTCAAAGTAGTTATACAGCTGTAATGCAAATTAATATAAAACATTAGAATTTTTCAATGAGACTGCAGTTTTGAATCAATCAATTAAAACAACTGTGTAAAAGGCATACCTCTAAAATGGAAGGATGTTTCAGTCGAGAGTGAATTTCCACTTCTTTGCGTACCCTAGCTACCATTCCATGTGCTTTCATTAACTTTTTGTCAATCTGTTAAATAGAAATGGAATTCCCAATTTACTCGAAGTAATTAAATGGCCACTAAGAATAATGCAGAAAAAAAATCATATCATCAAAATTGATTCCCTTAATACATCCTATATATTTACCATTTTAATGGCCACTTCCATCCCTGTCTTATTAGACCGTGCTCTGTAGACACAGGCAAAACCTCCCTTACCCAGGAGATTCAGCACTTGGTAATCCTGTAATACAGCACAGAAACATTCTTTTTATTATCAGTTCTGTCATAATTTTGGATTTTTGAAATATTTGATGTGAAACATTGAGAAACCACTTATAATTCTCTATAACATGTTTTATAATGTATAATTCTACTCTTCAACAATTGATAATTTTCATGTTGTTGGAATAACAGGTTACATCTTTTTTTTAAAATGATATATGTGAAAAAAGAAATCATTAATTGGTTATGTCTAGGAATACTTATTCATAAAAGTGTGTTAGGTCTATTAATAAAGTTTAAAACATAATAAATCTAAACCTCAATTTTTCCTATTGCCTTTTCTGTAAAGGGGTCAATTTCTTCATTGAGTGGACAAATAACCTCCATGTTAAATTGACATGTTATATTACAAGGACAGGGGTCACCTGTGTAATTTAACTGACACATGTTTGCTTCATCAAGACCACAAAATAATAACTGAATTTAAAAGTCCATAGTTGTATATTTATACTGTTGAGAGAAAGGATTATATCCCTGTAATCCGACCTACAGGTCATTGCCTGTTACAGTGAAGGGATTAAGAAAATGTGTCCAGTCCTAGTTTGTGCATGAATCAATTAAAGCAATAATCACTTAATTGCAATGTGTCACAGTTAGTACACAACTTAAGTCAATTAGGTACTTAAATCCTGCATTCATTTCATAATTAATTAATCATTTGTTGTAATTAATTAGAATATATTGCTGAATTTAATAAAATGTGGAATTACAACCGATTACTAAGTTTAATGTACACATACACATTTATTATTTTATTCCACAAAACACCTCTGACAATTTACCATACCTCTATTTTTTCATTTGCATCAAACATAAATTTGGATTTCTCAACCTAACAAATTGAAAAGTGGTATTTTAGATTAACTAAAAAAAAAATTGTAATAAGTCATATTAACATTTCTCAAGTCCAGTTTTAAAAATGGGTAATATTGAAAACAAGTGTATGCTGAGCTCAGTTTCCTTTTTATTTTATAGAATGTACTACTTTTTTTTTACATAAATAAATTTTCAAACAAAGAGTATAAATCCCTTTGAGGGAGATGGAGCTTGGCTCTTACACCCCTGATTTAAGGCACTCTTCATTGTCATTTTTTGTCGATTCAGATTATTTTCAATAGTGAGGATTTAATGATTTAAACACCAGATTTGTGGTTCAATGTTTATTATAAACTTTTATTCTAGTGGTCATTTTCTTGCTAAATTCCCATAATCTACCCTATTAAGCTACCTGTTGTAATTATATTTGAATATGGACATAACACAAGATTTCACCTACAACTTCTTTTTTGAATACAATTGAAATGATTCACTCTTTAAATCTAAGAAATGATAAAATTATATGCAATACACAACATGTGCTTATATAAATCCATATGTAACACACAGCATACAGGTAATCAATGGCTCAACTAGATAAAGCTATGGCACTGGCAACTTAACTTTGTTACAGAAAAATCTTATATGTATGAAAAAGTGTATTATATATATTATAAAAATGTGTCAATCATTTTTGTTTTTAACAACTGATGATCCAAGTATGGTTAATTAATTAATTGATCAAGATTTATTGAGTGGCCCTCTACTTGGTCTTCAGCCTTTTTCTTTTTTAAAGTTTGTAAAAACTATTAACAGCTTGTTCCATACATGCATTATGTTCTGTTAATTTTGAATGCTTGATTTAGAGCAAAACATTACCGTATTTGGATAATGAACAGACATAAATGAAATTCCATGAAGAATTAAGATTTCTTTCTTTGGATTAACAATATATTGATTAAGTGGCTTATCTGAAAGGGTTGTACACTGCACTGTGTTTACTCATCCCAATTGTTATATATATATGGCAAAGTACTAGTATTTAGCCAATTTCCTAACACAAGAGAGGTAAAATAATTTGGATGGCCAAGAAAGTGAACCTTGCAGTGCATTGATTCTAAAAATCCATTAGTATAAACTCGTAAAGTATCACATGTTAATTGCATGAAATTTTAAAGATTAAATTCGCAAATCAGAATTCAGATATAGTTATATGACTTGAATCCTTTTAATACTGTTAACAATCAGCAACAACCACTGACATAATCCACCAATGTTCTGTCAGGCCAACTTTTCTGAATGCTTTTTAACATGGCAACACAATTATGAAGAACATAAAATAATGAACAACTGTTTTTTTTTTCTTTTCCATCATTTTATATGAGGTGAAAAGTATCACTTGCAATCCAAGTTTTATTTTTTCCTTCACAGTACTTTTTCAATGTGACAACTATTTGTTATGAATGCTATTCCTTCTACTTCTATTAAACTTTAACAGCAGAATGAAAATTATAAAAATGAATTTCATATGGCCTTACAAATACAAAACAGACTTTATATACATATATTGGAACAAAAGAGATGTATGGCAGGTTTATATACCTTCAGAAAAATAAACATTTAAAGGGATGCATTTTAAGAATACCTATAGTAAAAATCTATATGTATCCTTTCATTCAACAACTTAACATTAATACAATTAACTTATTGTACAGGAATTAAACAAAAAACAAATCACTAGTCTACAAATTCTGCATTTTACAAGCTAAATTGATGTAGATGGGATCATGTAGATAATATATCTGCTTTACTAACCCCTCCCATAATAAGTAAATATTATAATTTGTTAGTAGATTTTTATTTCTAAAAGAGCTTTATCATAGCAGCATGAATAAAATCAAATAAAAGAATATATACATTTATATACGAGTTTGTTATTCTAAGTATGCAAAAAATTCCATTTGTTGTAACAACAAGCATAGAATCAGTTCCTGAAGGGGGGGGGGGGGGTCATAAAACTTTTTTCACAAAATAGAGAAAGATGAGGCATATTGTAGTTAAACAATTCTATATTTACTTGGTTTATAACTGAAGTTTCATACAAATAGTAGGGAAGAATATAAGCTTAGGACTGATCTGAAACATGACAGGACCAGACACGCTGAATCAGTGAATGAATCCTGACATAAATTTACTTACGTCTATAGATTCTCCCATGCTGAACGCATCAGCCATCCTTATATAGCACCAAAACGTCCTTTATAACCAAGATTTGAAATTTGGTACACACATCTACACATTTCATGACAAAAATCAAGATTCACATATTGCCCCACGTTTGTTGATTTGAAATAGTTTACGAACGCGCTTCAACTTGAAAACATTAGGTCCGCACCAAATACGAAACTAAAATCATGGAGTAGGCTATTGATTAAAAAAAAGGTTAGGTAAATAGTTTAATAACAATTTTTAAAATGCAAAAACTTCTGATTAAACATTTTAAGACTTTTCAGTAATATTACAATTTATTTAGTTTATCTTCGTAAAGATTCAAATACGGATGATTACGGAAAATATGGATCACTAGTTCGGTAAACTTTCAATATTTTGTCCAGATCGTGAAAATAGAGAAATGAGATACAAAAGAAGTGGCAGAAACAAAGGAACAGGGCCACTTAGACTGAAAAAAACAACGTTTGTTTCTGGTCAATGCACGTTTAGCTTTGCCCCCTCCCATTCTTAGGACTATCCTGTAACAATGGTACGCTATTAATGGCACACCAATTTCACAAAAATTAGATAAAAAATAGTTTAACAGTTGTTAGACTAGGTTTATCGATTGTAAACTATAGTTAACGAACTGTAAACTATGGTTAACGATTCGTTAACTATAGTTTTCATCTGTAAAACTATATTAATTTTTTTTATTATTATTATTTATTTATTGCTTAAGACATACATCTTATCGCATTTCAACATATAATACAAAGTTGTAAAGTGTAGTTTACCATTGCTAATCTAAGTTTATCTGTCTGTAAATAAACGTGAACAATATATTTTGCTGATAAATATAGATTCTCATTTTTAAACTATAATATACATTTGTTAACATGGTAAACCATAGTTAAGAGTTGTTAATCATAGTTTCACAAATCGTGAAACTATATTTATGAGACAAACTATAATTCACACTCGTAAACTGTAGTTAAGAGTTGTTTTAAGAGATATAGTTTATGAATCTAAACACCTATTAACTATTAACGATAATTTTCCATTCAAAATCGCGCGGCACCAATCGCGAGAGGCAATACTGAATGTCTGTCCCTTGGAGTAAGTTCTACATAAAACGAAATACAAATCCTACTCCATATAAACAGAAGTACTTTAGTAATTTCTCTTCTTAATAATCTTAAAATAAGTCAAGGTTTCAGCAACTCTTTTGATACCAGCAATGTTCAGTCATTTTTGTTCGATCAGCGTAAAAGATTGGAAAGACGGCAAGGATAAATGTCAGTGATTTATTTCGTTGCTGTTAAAGAAAAAATTGATTACAACCCCTCAAAATGAATTTTTCTCTTTCTCTTTTTAGATTAAAAAAAAATTAAATCAATAATTTTCCTGTCACAATTCTTTTTCATTTCCAATCAGATTTGCTTTAAACTGAAAGAATATTATTATTTTGTGTCATACTGTTTCGATTTGAATTTAATGGTATCACGACGATATAATAAAATTTGAAATCCTGTATTCAATCATTGCCAAATCCAAATAAATCATTCATTCATTTGTAACTGTTATTTAATACGTTGATAATATTTAAAAAGATCTTTGAGAAATTAAATTTCAAACACATCGTTGAATGTTATGATCTACTAATTAGAAAGTCTTTCGTGCTGAAAAGGCAGACCCTACAAGAATTGAAAGACCGCATATTGGAGACCCTATCTGAAGAGGACATCGAAACAGAAATCGCAAATACAGATGAGTACATGTATGAATTAGACTGTAAAATTAGGCAAACTGAAAAATTTACAGAAAAAATTCCATGTAAAACTTTGAATGCCAATGCTGAGTGTTTTACACCCGCCACAGAAATTTATGATAATAACGTTAAAACGTCAGCTACAATTAACTCAAGTAAAACGGCTTGTGAAAATATTTTGAACAATGTTCCTGCCTCTGATTTCAACGCACAAAGTAGCCATGAAAATGTTTTGTCATTTACATCCCAACACGCCACGAGTAATCACCGATTACCAAAGTTAGATCTTCCGCATTTTTACGGGGATGCATTAGAATGGAATACATTTTGGGATTCCTACGAATCAACGATTCATTGCAACCATACTTTGACGCCAGTTCAAAAGTTTAGCTATCTCAAAGCTCAAATCAGTTTAAGAAATTATGGAGACTTCTTGGAATCTCACGTCAGGAGTTTAGAGTGTCTAGGACAAAGACAAGAGATCTTTACTTATTCCAGTCATAATCAACAAGCTACCAGCTGAAATTAGAAAAAAAAAACATTACACGTGAGTACGATGGTGACAACATTTCACTACAAAATCTTCGTAAAGGTATCAACAAAGAAGTCAAAATCCTAGAAACAGACAGATTGAAAACAGCGATGGATTTCACGCGACAGCAATGTTTCTTACCGGAGCCTCAAAAACAACGCAACTTTCATTATTCACGTAATCAGAAAACAAGAGTGTCAACTCCTCATGTTGAAACAACAGAGATGAAGAGCCGCCCATGCATTTATTGCTGCACAGAGAATCATTTTCCAGGGGATTGTAAGAAAGTTACAGACGTAAGTGCAAGATTCGACACCTTAAAACGGAAGAAATTATGTTTCAACTGCTTGGAAACCACCGCGCCTCAGATTGTAAATCCCGCAACAGGTGTAAAAAGTGTCAGAAAAAACACCATACAAGTATATGCAACATGAAACTAACAAGTGACAGAGACGAGTCCATCAAATCAGCAAGTGTCAACATTTTAGAAACGTGCAAGAAGTCAGAGACCACAGTGCTGAACGTTGAACATCGACCTACAAGTTTTTACTGAATACAGCTGTCGCTCCCATAAATCGGACCGTGGTCTTCATGCAAGAAGAACGTAACAAGCTGACTAACGAGATACAGCAACTAAAATCAGAGCTGAAGTTCCAGACACAAAAGAGGAACGCGTTGGAGCAGGAGAATACCACCTTGCTAGAGAGAGTGTCACAATTCGACCAACAAAGGGATTTTCAGACTTGTGTAGAGAATGTGATGAACAGAAACATAATGATGAACAGAAAAATAAAATGGCGTACGAAAACGGACGTCTGCATAAGGAGATTCAGTAATTAAGGGGTAAAGTTGACATACTCAAAACCGCTAGCTGTGATTCGGGGCATCTCAGGGCTAAAAACAACAATCTTCAGTCACGATGTGATATCATTCAAAGGGAAATAAGTGATCTAAAGACCAACGTATAGAGATTGGAAAATCAACTGCAAACTTTACAGGACTCCGTGGAAAACAGGGAGAGAGATTACACGTTCACCGTAAAGACTCGTGATGAGGCACTAAGGGAGAAAACTCAGCTGATAGAAAAACTTAACATACATGGTAACGCGCTTCATGAAATATGCCGGCGTGAAGCGTCGTAATTCATGTCCTCATGAATCTTCAAAAATTAAATTCATTTCTTAAATGAACTTTTTAAAATTTTACTATTCATTTTGGTGCCCGGAGTGTCATGCATTATCCGCGAGTTTATGTAACGTTAACTTTGTTGTGACGTCATAATACCTTACGTTACGTTTCTATAGATAACAACAAGTCTAAAATAAACCACTATACGATTAAGACGTCTTTCATTTCATTTCACAACAATAAGATAGTGGTAAATGCAAAATTTACAATTTGATAACTCGTCCAGCTAGTAAATTCAAAATTTACTAATTGATACCTTCTTGAATATACTCCTATCACAGGAGACCCGTGTCTTCGAATCAATGTAAATTCTTGTTTTAAAAAATGACATGATACAATTTAGTACAATAAACTTTCACACAACCCAAAGAGTGCAATTCAGTCAATGTGATTAGAATCAATTACATGTACATTTGTTAGCCGTATCTGCTAGGCGCCTAATACAATCTACTGCTGTGTCATACTTTGGTGGTACTGTTGTATGATTAACAGAAACCGGAGCCAGAGACATGGCTGATGATAATCAAATTGTGTACAGTCAAGATAAAAAACAATATTCTGACTTCTGATTACCTGGCCTTGAGTCTGACCTTGTAGTAGGTACCCCTCAAAAGTTAGACGTATTGTGGAATATTCCTCAGAGTAGGGTAAACTTTAAATGATGCATTGAACTTGAGTTTAAAAAAAAACAGGAACCCATGCATTGGAATTGAAAAACGACGTTTTCTACAAAAATCTGGTTCCCGGAACATTTCTTGCATGAAACGTGAAGATAGCGAACAGTAATCGTGCTCAAAAGTGCAATCAAACAATACCGGAAGCACATACTGTGAGCAGAGAAAACGCGGATCTATGAAAACAGAGGTGCGATAGAACACATTGAGGAGTAAGCATCCCTTGTCGACCGGTCGCACTCTCCGTTTGCCCCTTGTCATGATCGTGTAAAGAGAAAAAAAACCCGTAGACAATTCAGTAGGAAAATAATGGCCTAACAATTTGTATGAAAAACGTCAATCAGCATTCAACCTTATACAATATGGTAGCAAAGACAATGTCGTTAGTGTAGGGAACCTTTCAAGTCCACAGTGTAGCAATGTGAATGTGATGGAACCTTTTTACAGTACAACAAAATTTGCGCCCCGCAATTGCGCCCCGTTGTTAGCAGACCTATTTTTGTATTCATATGAAGCAGAATTTATTCAAAATCTTATACATGAGAAAAAGAAATCTCTTGCTGTGGCCTTCAGCTCGACATTTAGATATATATCGACGACGTATTATAAATTAAAAAAAGTTATTTCCATTCATATGTCGACACGATATATCCCAGTGAGCATGAAATAAAAGATACCACAAAATCTGACACATCTGTTTCATATTTGGATATTTTACTAGAAAAAGACGTTAATGGTAATCTAACAACCAAGCTTTATGATAAACGTGACGACTTTAACTTTTCAATCGTCAACTTCCCTTACTTATGCAGCAGTATACCCTTATCACCTGCATACAGGGTTTATATCTCTCAGTTGATTCAATACGCAAGAGCATGCTCTACATATGAACAATTTGTAAAACTTGGTAAGTTATTTACAAACAAGTTGATGAAACAAGAATATCAGTAGTCTCGTTTAAAGTCATCATTTCGTAAATTCTATG